CTCATTGTGTCCTGGATTTCCTGGATGTTTTGAGTTAGGAGTTTTTTGCATTTTGCATTTTCTTTGACAACGGTGTCAATATTTTCCACCGTATCTTCTGCATTTGAGATTCTCTCTTCTGTTTCTTGTATTCGGTTGGAGATGCTTGTGTCTATGACTCCTGATCTCTTTCTTAGGTTTTCTATCTCCATGGTTGTCTCCCTTTGAGCTTTCTTTATTGTTTCTATTTCCAGTTTCAGATCCTGAATGTTTTTGTTTAATTCCTTCTTTGTGTTTTCTTGCATTTCTTTAAGGGATTTCTGTGATTCCTCTTTAAGGGCTTCTATCTGTTTACTTGTACTCTCCTGTATTTCTTTAAGGGAGTTACTTAATTCCTTCTTATAATCCTCTATCATCATCATGAGAAGTGATTTTAATTCTGAATCCTGCTTTTCCGGTGTGATGGGGTGTCCAGGGCTTGCTATATTGGGAGAACTGGGTACTGATGATGCCAAGAAACTTTGGTTTCTATTGCTTATGTTCTTGCGCTTGCCTTTCGCCATCTGGTTAACTCTAGTGGTACCTGCCCTCACTGTGTAAGACTGGAGTCTGTATTTCCAGTTATCTTGCTTGTTGCAGAGCTCCTCAGAGTCCAGATGTCTCTGTGGTCTTATGCTCCTAATCTCCTATGTGGAAGAACTCCTGGGACTCAGGCCACCTCTTGGATCTGGAAATCCTTCTGCTCTGAGTGCAGTGGATCCTCGGCTGCTCTGAGTGCAGTGGCTCCTCGATGACTCAGGATTCAGTATCTCCACAGGACAGGAGCAGACCGATTCTGTGTCTGCCCCAGCCCAAAGGACCAGGCAGGGGTGGGAGGGAAGTGGAATTCCGGAGGGGCGGGGTTTGGGTAGCTGCTGTGTCCTGAATGTCCCTGACTCCCAGATGTATCTCTGGGGTTTAGGGAGTGAGATGGGGTTCTTACCGGCTGCTCTGAGTGCAGTGTCTCTTCTAGGATGACTCAGAATTCAGTATCTCCACAGGACAGGAGCAGACCGATTCTGTGTCTGCCCCAGTCCAAAGGACCAGGCAGAGGCGGAAGGGCTTGATGCCAACTCTTACAGTCATTGTAGCGTGCTGTATGCGAGTTCCTCAAAGCTTACAATCAGTCATATGTGATCAGGCAACTCCACTCACTGCTGGGTGTATCACTGGAATCAGTGTCAGAGAGACATTTGCATCCATGGGTTTATTTAACTGTCGATAATAACCAAGATAAGGAATCTCAACTTAAATGCCCATCAATGAATGGACAAATAGATAAAGAAAAGGTGTATTGTTATATTTGGTATTATAATCATGTGTATGTTTATGTCTTACTCAGTCATAAAATAGGAATGAATATTTAGCATTTGTAGCAACATGAATGGAGCTAGACACCATCATTGTTACATAAATCAGATATACAAAAAAATTCCCATATGTTAAAAACTTGATCTTACAGATGTCTAAAATGGAATCACCATTACCAATGCTTGGAAAGGAGCTTGGGGAAGGGACTCCAAAGATAGCTACAGGGAGGAGGGATGACTTTTCATGGTCCACAGTACCTTGGCAGCATAACTCCGTTGACATTTCACTGAGTATTTAACAAGAGTAGAAAAGATCTTTACTGTTCCTAGTACAATGTCTGGGGTGACACTTATCTAACAACTTGATCTAATCATGTCCATTGTGTCATGTATTATAATACCCTCAGAGAATGTATAGTAAAGTGAATGACTTAACATTAAAGTGCTTGGAGAAAGAGTTCGGTCTCTTTGCCTCTTCCTCCTCCGTGTTCCCTGAGCTACATAGATACAGAGACTGTGATATAATAGATGTTCTTTGGGGCTGGGTTCCCCATGATTTGTTGCTCTCTGCGTGGTGCCCATGTGTGATTTTCTGTGATGATCTCCAAAAAGTCATGTAATTCGATTTCAATCAAAAAATGAAGTAGAAAATATAGGAATGAGTACAGTTGTTCTTCTCAATGGATCATTGTTTAAGCTTTAGCTTAAAACTTATACTGCCTAGTTTATCCTATGAGAAGCTTGTCTTTTAAGAAAGGAAGACAGAAAATCACCTCTCAAAGAGGAAGTCAGTAGTTAAAAGTGCAACCTTTCTACCCCACAAAGAGAGCACAGGGAGAAATGAAGAAAGGGGCTTCATGTCTTTAATCAGAAAGGAGGCTAGCCATTTGTGAGTTCGTACGCCTGCTTTCCTTTCCTTGCTTCCTCTAACAGAGCAGTCCTTTTCTCTGGTCCTCCTTCACTCTTCTTCCAAGTAGATGACTCATACATGACCATGGCTCTGTGCTCTGCTCTCTATGTTTTGATCAGCTCTTACTGTTGACTTGTGATACCTATATTGTAGTCAAACTGAGATGCATGATGTAAATTCTCTCAGTGGTATCTGCCTCTTCACAGCGATAGGAACTAGCCCTAACATCTCCTGCCACCTTCTCTCCTCGCATCCTTTTTATGACTTATAAATACACGATCTTTCATATCCCCTTGCCACATGAATAGTATGTCACACCATGGCTTCCTGAGTCTGTTTTTAAACTGCCTATAAGTCACATACACAAGATCATGTACTCAATGAAAATAATCTTTCCACAATTTTAATTTTACCACCAGGACAGATTGGAGACAGCATAATAAATTCTTTTTTTTCTTTTTTTTGGGTTTTTTTTTTTTTTTTGAGACAGGGTTTCTCTGTGTAGTCCTGACTGCGCTGGAACTCACTCTGTAGACCAGGCTGGCCTCGAACTCAGAAATTGGCCTGTCTCTGCCTCCCAAGTGCTGGGATTAAAGACATGCACCACCACTGCCCAGCAATAATAAATTCTTATCATAAATATGGTTGTAGAACCAGGGTATCATTGGGTTTCACATAGCTTGGTCTTCTGATTGGGGGACACGTGTAACAATATGTAATGCTGAGGACCTTTTGATTAGCAATGCTCTGACTAAGCTCTCATATGGCCTTCTGAGGTAATGGTAAGCATGTTCCCTTTCATTTTCTTCTTTCTGAAAATTGGGATACTTATCAGTTGGCAATGCTTTCAGTGACAAATAAGGACTGTTGATAGTGCCTTCTTACATACCGAAAGTTGTGATTTGTCTTTATAAATCTGAGGGTGTGGGGATTTTTAGGGTTAGGATCAGCTCATTGGACCAGAATATCAGACATTTTCCTCTTTGGGGGGTCTTTTTATTTCCCTCAGGCCAAGCATGTTTTCCTTTTGTCTCCATACTCCCTCCCCCACATCACATGGTAAGAGCTTTAGGAATCATGTCAAATGGGTGGGTGGGGGGCGGAGAGTAAGGCTTTGGAGCTACAGAGATGACTCTGCGTAAGAGTGCACATTGCTCTTGAGATTCAATTCCAAACACCCATGCCAGGCAGTCTATCACCTCCTGTAACACCGGAAGTACCTCATGCCTCTGAGCTCGTAGGCCCTGTACTTGGGTACACAGGCACACACATGCACAGCAGTAAAATAAATATTTTACGAAGAGTGAGGTTATAGAACTGCTAAATTCTGCCCTGATGCCAGTCCTGGGAATCTCTCCCAGGAGCTCCCAGCATTCCTTTTCTGTCTACTTGTCTCTGGAGTGTCACATGCCCACCCTAGTTGCAGGAGGGGATAAGCTGCCACCTACTTTGTGTCTGTCTTTGGGGACAAGAAAGAGGAAATTGAGAATAGCTTTTGATTGGCCAACCAGCGGTGTCTGTGAGTCCCTCCTACAATACACAGTCATCTATATGGTCATTTCTAGAAAGAAACTGTTTACAAAATGGATTTTGCTGTCAACCTTGCTTGGAATCAAATCAGTTTTCTTCCTATGCCTTCTGACTTTGAGCTTCCCTTTGCTTCTTTCCTTAGAAGTGAAAGGAATTGTAGTGTTACAAGTTTTGTATGAATTGTGTGAATAACTTCATGTTAGCATGAGGACACTCAGTGAATGTCATCACCAAAGCCAGTGCCATGCTCAGATGCAGAAAGGTGGACCAGCTAACAGGCTTCTCACTTTGAGTGAAAATATCTTGGAAATACAGCACTTGAAACCAATGTATACAAATCCTTAATCTGACTAGAAAAATTCCTGAGAGATACACAGTCTTAACAGCATTTGCCTTCCTTTGTTTGGAAAGCATTATATCTGGCATGCTCTTGTTTACAAATAAAGCCCTGTAGGGCTTATCCAGAGTCCCCGTGTATGGAAGCAGCATGCTGAAAAGCATATTTTGACTATAATGTATCAAATCAGAAGTCTGTAATTTTCAATATGTCTATGCAACAGTTCTAGAAAGTTATGTGGACAGAAACAGCACTGTTGGGTCAAGGATAAAACAATGTTTTCAATGATTAGAAAACAAAGTATCATAGCACAAGAGAGATGGGAGAGGGGAAAAAGGGGGCTATCTGAAACATCGATGTCATTCCTTAAACAGCCAGTCACAGAAGAAATGGTATAGAATGAGAAAAGCGCCAGAAAGCAATTCCATGTGCTGCGAGCCTTGTCTTGTTTCCTGGTAACCACTCTTCATACTCTTGAGACTAAGAATCTGCTCATCCTAGAAGAAAAGCAGTAGAAACTCAGAATGGCTTCTGGAATGAATTACTGTCTGCCAGGGGACTAGTAGGTGGGTTCAGAGTGGAGGAACTATCCAGTTAAACTCCTGCTGCCCACACCCTCTTGGGCACATCGATTTCAGATGCATGTGTTCTATCCAGTACATTGAGATTTCTTCAGAATTCAGAATAAATACTAACAAAAATTCTAGGTTAGTTTCTTACCTGAATAAATGAGTCAGTCATCATTCTGCAGTTATAAGTACAGAAGTAACTTGTCAGCTTGGGATAAAGTAAAATATTCAAAAACTTATTATGTTGTGTGTAGTAACCAGCTAGGTGTGCTACACACATGGAATTGTAAACTGTACTGACTACATTTGTCTGATTTTGCCTTTAGAAAACCCGTTATGAAATTTATGTCAGCGTTCTGAAAGAAGGAGGCAAAGAGCTCCTGGCTTCTGAGGGAAATGAGCCAGTGGGACTGAAGAAGTCACACTCAAGTCCTTCCCTTAACCCAGATGCATCTCCAGTCACTGCCAAGGTCAAGCGCAACGTGTCAGAGAGAAAGGACCACCGACCTGAAACACCGGGCATTAAGCAAAAAGTTACTTAGAATCCATCAGCGGCCAGGAAGTGCTGGTCATGGAGCAAAATAGGGTTTTTCAAGATCTTTCTGGTAATCCGTGAATATATTTAAAAAAACAGTCTGTGACTAAATGGTGCATTAGTAGCCTTTTATATTGTATATTTTTGTTAGTTTCTGTACAGGTGTCTTTGCTCTTGAGTTCCTTGCTTTGATGATTTGGCCAACTTTAAAACTAATGCACCTTTTGTGAGGAGGAGAGGATTACAGATCCTTTCTCCTTCTGCTTTTTCTTATTTGCACTTCTGCACAGTTATTTTATGTATTCCTGATCAACTGTTGTACTTTTTTTAGGTTTAAATTTTTAATCCATTGTGAAACACATAACTGGACAAGCATTGTGTGCTTTAGTAAATCCTAGACTTTACATGTGAAATCCTGCCCAGTCACGGAGGTGAAGTTGAAAGTTCATAGTTGCTCACATAAAAGTGGCAGTGCTGGGAGTCAAGGTGTCCCAAGGTGGGACATTTCTGCGTTCATCCTGGCACCTGTTGTTGGTGCTGGACACAGGACAAAAGGGAGCACGAGGATGACAGGACTGGAGACCTTAGGGAAGCACAGGAGTTGGTCTCAGGAGTGCATTCCATTCCAGCCATGCAAGGGAATTCAGAAGTGGAGTCATCTTGCTTGAAGGGAGGCTGAGGATGGATTGATACCAAGCCACTTTTGTTTTCTAAAGGCTGGTGGCAGTAGTCAGCTCTGTGGAGCTGCAGCACTAGGATGTATGGTCTTCTATAGAAATGTTACCTCACTCCCGTGAGATCTAGACTAGGAATCAAAATCATCTCTGTGATTGATACCTTTCCATCCAGGACTAGATTCATTTTTACATAGATGTGCAGGCATAGATCATGTCCTGGTTGAAACAAAACAATGTTGAAAATGAATACCACCCCTCCTTTTTCTTTTCTGTATCAAGACAAATAAGGAGCATTCTGGCTGCAGTTCTTCCTCAGGCTCAGTGGCCATCAGACCGAAGCTGAGATCAGTCTGATCACAGGGATTGAGGATGGAGGGATCTGATGATGTATGTGCGGCTTCTTAGCGCGTTCTCTCCATCTCTATCGCCGGCTTGCTGTGTCACTATTAACATGGCTCCTGGAGTTACTTGTATACATTTAATCTTATTTTTCCCTGTATTCAAAACGGTTTCACCTTACAGTCAAAGCAGTCCCTTTAAAATTTAAAGTATTAAGTAGAATATTGTCTGTGGAGGAAGAGAAAGATGTAAAAGGTAAGCTTCCTCTGTGGCTGAAAACTGTCCAGTTTCCAGCCTTGAAACTGTATTCTCTAAAACTACTATCTTCCCATCAAAATATCTTCAAAACTAACAGGATGACATTTAGCTATTCTTTATCCTCCTTAAATATTTCCTCTATTTCTACTTGGTTAGTTGAAGGTACTATGACCAGAGAATCAGCTGCTCTTGCATGAATAGCATGATTCTAGTAAGTTAGAGAAAGCCTGTTAAAAATCCTGGTAGTTTATAGAGACATCTCATTAGGATGTACTAGCATTTAGTCACAGGACTGTGTATTAGCCTGTCCTTCTTTCACCTCTGTACATGCCCACCTTGCTTGTGCCCCAGAATAGTAACACTTCTCTCCAGTATGGTAGCTGCTTGCTTCATGGTATTTTGCCACACTATTGGAAAAACTTCCTTAAACATCTATCTCGTTTAAGTAAAGGCAGTGATTTAATTTATATTTCAGAACCATGAAGCGAATATGATAGTTAACATTGTAGTTCCATATACCTGAACTATTTCATAGCATCCTAGTGAATCCAATATTTTCCAAGCAAGTCGTCTTTCTCCTAAAAGGTGAACTATCACTGTCTGCTTTTTGCCTAAGTATTTGTAATCCCTGAAGGGAAAGGTACCAAGACCTTTGAGTCTTGAGCATCATCTTTGAGCATCAGTAGCTGAAGAACAGTTAACATGTCTATATGTGTTTGTCCACAGTGTTTGTCTATATGTATAGAATTTTTGTGTGTACTTATGTAGAATATCTAATATACATTGAATGGTACCTTGCTGCAGAGTTTCTGACATGGAGAATTGTCTAGGAATGCCCTCAGCATTAGCTCTGCCACTGTTGTGTTACAGGACTCACTAGTGGTGGCTCCAGAGCTTCTGGACATGCTTGTAGATAATCAGATGACAAAGGCACTTTTAAAGCTGTGGACTATTATGTCTGCATCATTTATCTTGAAAAATAACTGAGGCAGTCGTTTGTGAGTCAGAACCCCAGACTGCCCTCGTGCAATGCTGTCTACCTTTGGGGGATAGGCTAAAAATGTGTCTTCCCTGAGGCCTCTGGAAGGATGCGGCGTTCTCTGATATGATAGGATTCTGGGAGTCTGGCCCATAGCCAACCCTATTTCTCCCACAGTATTGAGTCCTGAGAAATGAAAGGTGGTCCTTTGTACAGCTACTCTAAGCCTGTTGCCCAGTGCACGGTACAGGGAGCTCTTGTCTCCTTCTTTCCATGGTACTTCATTCGGTCCCACCTATACCTGTTCTCACCCCTACCTCAGTTCTCTGGAGTCTTGGAATTCCTCTCTATATGATAAAGCATTATCTATATTACATTAATACTTTAAAGGATGATTCTTAGTATTGAAAATATCAACAAGTCATCAAAAGGCTTTGATGATAGCCTTGTTGAAAAACTGACCATTGAAGTACTCCTTGTATAAAATCTGAGTGTGTCTTGGGCTTCACCCCTATTGCACATGCTAGCTTCCAGAAAGATTTACCAGGAACCCAGTTTTAAAAATTCTATTCAGAGTCCTTGTTTTATTGATATATCATTAGCATTTCTAAAAATGTACTTCTAAAAGTATATATCATTTATCTAACTCTTAGCAATGTCTAATTAAGTCAACAGTTACTTATATATGTTTCCATTATTCCCAATGAAACCAGCATGTGGGAGAGCCGTCTGGTAGAAGTAGTTTCTAGGTTATATGTAACTGTTTGAAATTGCACTTAGATGGAGCCATTTTCTCATGCAACAATCTTGTGACGTATGTAGGTGCTCTGTGCTCCTCTGTTTTCTTTTGGTTTTTTTGTTTTGTTTTGTTTTTGTTTCCCATCATCCTGAAGGTGAGGACTGTTTCCAAGCCAAATATAGTGTGAGGTAATTGGTTCTGAAAGAGGAAAACCTGCTGGCTTTCAAGGCCCAGCTAGGGTTGTGTTATAATCTCCTTGGGAATTGAGAGCAGGAAGGTATGCTGGTTCTTCTTCAGCTTCTGTCCCTTTATCATATAAAGAGCATGATGAATGAAGGATGAAGGAGCATGCTCTGAAATACGATCATCATCTGCCTTTTTGATTAGAAGTCAATTTTCCATTGTCTTCACAAATAAGAGAGACCTTAGATGGAGTTAGCTTTACATGAAATTTAAATTCTTTGGCTTTTTTTTTTTTTCTGTTAGTCATCAGTTAAGCCTTACTTGACATTAAGCTTCTTAGTTATGAACATCTAAGTATTTGTGGTTTAGTTATTATGAACACAAGATTTTTTTCAGGTCAGCAGCCACCAAAAATGATACCATTGTAGTTCGGATAGCGTGTATTTTCCCTGTAAAGCTCACACTAGAGGCAAAACAGAATTGTAGTGTCAGTTAAACGTAGATGTGGTTCAGGAATGATAATGCATCTTGGGGTCTGAAGCATGTCAGCTCTTGTTTCAGAGCATCTGTGTTACTCAAACAGAAACAGTTTTGTAGGCAGAGGACCGACCTTGCTCCACAGCCTCTTCCCTTCATTCACCCCAGCCAGGCTGCTTGTAAATTAGCAAAAGCCTCGCCACGCATTTGACATCTGCTATCATCATGGCATCCAGAGGACTTTATCAATCCACATAAACTACTCTCTGACATATTACAGAGGTACTTTGTCACTGTATTTCCTTTCAGACTCCTTTTCCATCCTTCGCAGTTAACAGGACTGATAGCTGAGGTCATTCTCATTCTCTATCTATAGTGGGCATCTTATAGCAGTTGGCTCATTGCATGTGGAGAGAATGTCAGTAAATACTTGAATCTGCATGGCAGTTTGCTAACTTGTATGCAAGAACAAGGAGCAGGGAATACAGCAAGTTACTTGTACATACGGTAGGTTTCCTTAGGTCTCGTGGGCACATCTTTTGTAATTTATGTGTATATCTGTTGTATTGAAGCATCTGAGGAAATACTTGTATAGAAAGTATGTCATATGTCAAAGGAAATGCTTTCTGTTACCTGCCAATGTTGTATTTGTGAGTATTTATAGTTGTATGTATGTATGTGCATCAATGTGTAGATTGTGTATCAGTATATGGTATATGTATGTTGAAATTATTTTTGTCTTTTAACAACCAGTATAATATGAAAAGAAAGTTTAAAAACCTCATAGGAATGATAATATAGTACAGTTGTTGAGAGTTCATATAGTGGTATCATTTTATTAAACTTAAATTTAAATGATATTTTGATTAAATTTTTTAGTAAGACTTTACACTAGAAAATTCCATCTTTAAGCTTTGAATTACCAGGGCAAAAATGACTTTAACCTAAACTTGTGACTCTATTGAAGTGTACAGTGTGCAATACAGTGAGAACTCATTATAGTTTGGGAAATACAGAAGTTAAGGGGAAAGCCAGCCTGTGCAGTCTTAGCAACTTTAGTATTAAGAGCACTTAAAAATAAAGTTGAGCTGATAACTTAGGGCTTATTACAAAAGGTGATGCTTTCAAGCTCACGTTCTTTATTGTTGTAATTAGTCCAGAAAAATACATAGCTTTCTAAAGAAGTAAGTAAGTACCCAGTGTACCTTTTATGTACTGGTGTATATTTTAGAGTAGCTCACTCTCCTGGTGCCGCATCTTTACCCTCTTTGATATACAAGAATATCACAGATACTGAAGTCTATCAGGGCATCCCAAGATCGGGTACTGTATTCCAGGTTCGCAACTGCACAAATTAACAGCTAGTATTATAGGTAAAAGGACTTTAGAAACAGGCTAGACTTTATTTAATATTTTTATACTTCAGTCTCTTTTTCCTGACTCTCCCCAAAGAAGAGCCACTGGCCTTAGTTGTTTAATGTTATTGCTTATATTATAAAGTGTAAATAGTAACTAAAGTTTTATTACCCAGCATGTTTGGTATATTTAAAGCAGCGACTGAGTGTGTTTGAGTGTGTGGTTGGGTGCAGTGTCTGTTTGAATACACTGCCTCATGTCTTTATGTCTGAGTCAGAGAATTGGAAGTGTGGGGTCTGAGACTCTGCTTCAGCTCCAGGCTGCAGTCCTGTATCAGTAGTTACAGTTGAGTTTTAGTTCTTATTAACTCCTCAGTCTCAAACTATTTTTTATAAATTATATTTCCCAACTTGGTTTTATGTGGGGTTAGCAGGCTCTGTGGATAATCAGCAGGGCTTCGGCAAGAATATTTCCTTCTAAGAATTACTTGGGATTTGCAGAAAACAGCCATTGATTCAGAAGTTAAGTAGTAGAACTAAGGTATATTTTAGGTCGTTGCTACTTGAAAAGTTTTAATTTTAATATGAAGCCATGAAAGTTGTAAAGCCAAGTAATCATTTGAATGGATAATAATATTCACACTAGAGAGTATATATGCACATTGAACTTTTATGTCATTAGGATACATTTTTAAGCTTTAGGAATAAGAGTAATTAGACCAAATTAAAGTGCAGGGGTGAGCTGGCTGTTTTCCACTTGGGGTAGTCATGTGTTATTAAATCCTTCTCCTAAGAGACCCAAAACTGATTAACCCTTAGGTGTTTAAGGAGAAAATTGATAGACCTAGAACCTCATCTGTGTACAGACACACACACAGAGAGAGAGAGAGAGAGAGAGAGAGAGAGAGAGAGAGAGAGAGAGAGAGAGAGAGAGAGA